TCATGATAAAAGTTTTGACACTGAAAATACATCCTTTAATGAGATTTTGAGGTGTACCTTATCGTGATTGTTCAAAGTTAACACCCTGTACAAACCTTACCTCGCACATACAGGAAACAAATACTAGAAATGTCTTTTCTCTTCCTATGAATATTTGAACAAATGGGGGTGTTTCGCTAGATTTGCACTATTTTTTCAGCTTTCAATTTCATTATAGGGGTAAAAAATAGACTCTCATGTTATAATAAAAGTTTTGACACTGAAAATACATCTTTTAATGAGATTTTGAGGTGCACCTTATTGTGATTGTTCAAAGTTTCGGTATTTGCATAACTCGGGCCTCTTAAGTGGGCCAAGATTAATAAAGGAAGATCTTTCCATGTGACCCACCCACACATATAGTATATGTGACCCGTGATCTCGGACGAGATCGGAGTGAATGGCTGAGATGGCTTGAGCCGCAATGTCACAAGCTAGCTCTCGAACATGATCTTGAATCAACAGTTCAAAGCGTTTTATTTTTAATATTTTTTTAAAAAATTATTTTGCAGCCAAAATTGCATACATATGATAGGTACGCACATTATACAAATTATAAAAATATTTTATATGGGGAAAAATTGGCATAATAGTATTGAAACTTTTAGAGGCATTTTGGCCATTTATTTTCATGAGAAATATATTTATTTTCTTTTGTTAGGTGCGCCCCATGATGGAGATAGGAGGCCCCAAATTTCAGCCAAAAAGGTCTTGTAGAAAAACTAAAATAAAACAGTGTTTTGGGCCATTTGGCATGACATTGTAACATGAGTAATCTAAACCGTTGATTCAGATCGAACAACTAAAAAGTGGGGTCCCATATAATTTATATGTGGTTGGGGTCATGCAAAAAACTTTCCCAAAACCACACCCTTATTAAATTATCCTCACAGATTTTGGATACCAAACCCATAACAGAGGCATGGTGGGTAATATCTTAAAGTGACCACTTTATTGTTGAAATGGTTGATTTGAAAATACGGAGATTTTTTGAGATGATTTGACCATTTTTATAATATTTTCCGAATTTAAAGAGAGGAATTTATATAATGAATAATGAAATGTTAGCAACGTTTTAAACATTTTCTCAGATTCTCACATACATCAGATATCCACAATTCTCCCATCCGCCATATGTCCACAAGTGATGGTTGGGGTGTGCCTTCACCCAACAAATTACTGAACACTGTGTAGCCCAAACTGTGCTTTGTTGACATACACCTGTAAGCGCCTACGAAAAATGCAAAAATCGACATCAAACTATTTTGAAGCCCAACTGTTTGAAGTTTGAAACATGACCAGATTGAGGAAAGTGAGTGTTTTTACAACATCAAATGGACTGCATGTTGATAAAATGATTCATGGTATTGACCATTAATCTCACTCTTATCATGATGGAATAAAAATAAAAATAAAAAAGTTCATTTATCTTCCTTTATTCAACAAATCAAAAGAGTTCATGTTTTATGTCATGACTGCATATGGTGCCTGTCGCATTAGATGAGCCCCAAAAAGCAAGAAGAATAAACCATAGGAATGTGAAAATAGAAAATGATGAAACGAAATGACAAGGGATCAATTTTGTATTGGATTCAAAATAAATTATGCGATTCGGATCTCAGTGAACCAAAGTTAAAACTCCAAAGATAGAACTCTATAAATAGAGGTAGAATCTTTTCTTGATGCATCAAAAATATGTAAATGTATGCAGTTGAGAACTCTTATACCCTTTTTGTGTTCCATGGAGTTATTTGCCCAAGCTCCATCATAGTTTTACTGATTTTGATATCTCGTTAGTAATTGTTCATTAGAACATCTAGTTTCATTTCTTTAAAATATTATCCATTGTAAGAAATGTGTTCTCTAAGTTCATTTATGGTTTGGTAATTCATAATTTTGGATATAGATAAACACTCGGTGATCTCTCCTTTGTCCTTGTTCAAGGGATTGGACACATACTGACACATGCAACACACATTTTATGTTGCAGGTGAGATGAACCATTCTCCTCAGGTCAAGCCAACATTGCCATCCGCATCTCAAGAATGTTCCATCTCAACCGTCTGTGGTTGACAACAAAAGGTTGATATTACATGCAGTAGTATTTGTACACCACATGCACAGCCGTGTGCTTTTCCATTTTTCAATTAGTATGATTAGTTGGTTTAGCACATGATCGCTCATTTTCAATTCCTACGGCCATCGTTTTCTTTTTGAGCCAAAAGTCAGAAACAGCCACAGATTCAAATTTTTGTGTTCCAGAAAAAATACAATTTCTAAAATAGGAGAAAATTTTCATACATAGGTGAAACCCACCCAACCCGCACACACAAAAGGAGATCAAATAAAGATTCAGTGACAATAGTGAGTGAATTCGCTAGAGCTTGTAAAAGTCGGGCTCCCCTGAGTTTGGAACTTCAAATTTCCCAAGCCCCCAAGTCAAGGATGGAGTTTCAATTCACGGATTCAAAATAACTCCTTACCAAGTTACATCATCGAGGCCACTAGAAAAGCATTTGCAGACAGCATATGAGTCACATGGTTCAATACAGCGGTATGAAAAGGGATAACCCGTACATCAAAACGTGACTCAGTGGGAAGCTAAGAACCCTTAGCACGGATATCAAGACTCATAACCTCATATTTTTTAAGTTTCAAGCTAATGGGGTTCTCCAAAACAGATACTTGTATATTCTTCCATACATCAGAAGTAGTGGGGAGTTGAGCAATTTTCTCTGCAATCTCCATGTCTTCAGGTAGAACAGAACCAAAAACAGTGTACACACTGCCCCATTCTTCATGATTTGCAAGGCTTATAAAGAAATCGGGCCCTGATCCAATCCAAGCAACTGAGCCTCTTCTGATGGAGGGGCAAGCCTCTGCTGGAATTCCTTTAAATGTTACACCTTGGGCTTCTAGAGTTCCTTGAATCAGTGCAAATGGGGGCCCTAAAGGACTCTGCAAATTCCGTATGGAAAACTCTTTAGACAAATTAAGTGTCACCATTTTTATACCATAAACCAAGTCACACCATTGATCACCAAGACCTGTAAGCATAGGTTTACACGAGGCAAGACTCAAGTAGCTATTAACAGAACCTGAATGAAATCCAACATACTGCAGCAACAGAAAATGAACTTGGTGGAAAGGGAAAGTTGAGAAAATGCTCTTTTAAGAAATATATTTTGTGGAGCTTCTTATTTCTTACTTGTAACTTGGATATAAGTTGATGCAAAAAGGCCCTTTCATGAAACTAATCTCTAATAATATTGCTTTTTCTATTTTTTTTGAACAAGAATATTCTTTATTGTTATTATGTAGCTCTTATTCCGTGTTCAAATTGCAAACAGGGGGAAGAGTAGTCTTTTGAGCAGGAAGGAAATTCATATAGAGGGTCGCTTGAGTAAATTAGGCAGCTATGTTTCTGTGTATATTAGTGTATATGTAGCTACGATAAGGTTAGTGAAAAGAATAGTCTTTCTTTCAGCAGTGAGAGGAAAATACTCTCTCACTGCCCTTGATGCACAATCTTTGATCTGGTACAAAGGCCACATAAAAAAACTAGACGCCATAATAGAGGCCAATAGCTCGCAGAACAATGTTTTAAATACTCCAAGTAGACCCATTCCATAACAGTTTCAGCATACACAGTTGATTTGGTAGAAAATTCAAATTATGGCGTAAGAAAATTTAAGAAACATAACCAGATCACATGACTACATTTTGAATTTATATACTTAATCATTAATTATCTATGAATTTCCTAATTTCTTCCCAGCTAGGGAGGAGATTATAATTTGCATTCTTTATTTGGATACCTAGGCCACAGCTTGTGCTGCAAATGTACCGGTTTTTCTTTTGAATGCACATGGAGGTCAAGCATTCCCAGTCACTACCCAAAGAAAAGGTCAAATTTGGATCATTCAACATACAACAGTGGAGACAGCCATTTAGATAAGAACTAGATGGAATCCAAGCTAAGTTAGCCAAAATCTTATACATGGAAACTTGGATATTAATCCCTCCATCTTTTAATGGTGAAGGCATTCTATAATCCAATGGTCTATTGTAAATCATAGGCCATTGCAGTCATCGCTGTCCAAATAAATGAAATTAATGGTGATGACCCCAATGGCTAATGATTTTGGAAACTTGGATATTAATCCCTCCATCTTTTAATGGTTAAGGCATTCTATAATCCAATGGCCTATTGTAAACCATAGGCCATAGCAGTCATCGCTGTCCACATAAATAAAATTGATGGTGATGACCCCAATGGCTAATGATTTTCCATAGTCCATTTGATTATAGAATACAAAGAATTTGGCTTTGATGATTGCAACACCATTTCCCAAGTTCAAATCCTACACTGACCTGCCCAGAAAAAAAGGGATTGTAGTATACATCCCAAATATAAAATCATCCAGGAATCATGCACACGTGTACATATAAGAAAAAGAAAGAGAAGATACAATCAATTCCTATAATAAATCAATAAAGAAGACAATTATTCATATTTCAAATGCAAACAATGTTACCTGGACACTTCATATATCTCATTGTGTCGTGTGTCGACATGTGCAACACAACATTGATATGTGTGGACTACGTGCCTGATGATTTTTTTACCCATGTAGTATGTCTCGCCAGTCCTAATAAGAGTGTCAACAGACACGGCGCACACATTTTATAGGTCCAACATACACTTTTTCATAGGTTAAGAAAGCCGTCTGCCACATTGTCTGCTCAGGCCATTGAGTTACCAGGGATTACTGGATTGGGATCATGTCCCATCAACTACATGGGCGGCCTTGTCACTATATATATGTTTTTCCTCTTTTTATGAAGTATGATAGTTTTGGAGTCAGGTGTTTGTGTGTGTATGTATATATATATATATATATATATGGAAAAAGCTGGGATTAGCCCACTAGCTCATATGAACATATAAGCCCAAGGCCCAGATTGAATTTAGGTCGATCTGACGATCACGGAAGTCCGGTAGTGTTTGAATTTTATTTATTTTTCTACAAATCCAAATCACTTGAAATTTTAGGTGTGTGTTCTTCTCATCAAGGCGCACCTAATAAAAATATAAAAAAATTTATTCACGAAAAAATGACCAAAATACCCCCCAAAACTTTTCGTGAGTATTTTGGCCAATTTATTTCATGTAAAATATTTTTTGATACTTTTTTTGAAGATTCACCTATTTTTGATAAATACATGCCTAAAATTTCAATTAATTTGGATTTGTAGAAAAAAAA